AATCGGGAGCAGGTCGGTGGAGGGAAGAAGCAGAAAAACGTCGCATACTGCGATGAGAAGAAGGTTGCAAAGACGGATCTCGAAGAATGTGGTACGTTGTCCAACTTAGAGTCTGGCAGCCTATGATTAAATCGACGAAGAGGATCAACACGTCGGGCAGGTCAAAGTCTGGAAGCGAAGTGAGTTGAATGCTTCCCGTTTCTAGCTGCTAGACTGACGTTTGTTTCAGAGGGGACAATCTTGGGTGTTCCCCCAAAGGAACGCGAAGCCTTTGGGAATATCATTAGTGACCTCGCAAAAGTCTTTTCAATTAATCAGACACGGTGTCATGTATTCTTTCACGGCGAGGACTCGAATCTGATGGGTTTCAACCGCAATGATCAGATATTTTTCGGTCTGGAACACTATGCAGAACCGTACGTGATCTGCATGATCGATTCTTCCGTCACCAAGGCTAATGCCTACTACCTAGACAAAGATGCTCCTGCTGGAAAGGCTTATGTTGACTGGCAAGCACTCACGGAATCCTGTCCTTTAGTATTTACTAATCTTCCGCAGGTATTATATCATGGCGCACGAGATGGCACATGTGCATACTCCATACCATGACGAGCATCACGAGCTGTTGTTTCAAGCGCTGGCGACGAGATACTTGACTGAGCTCCATAATTTGCCAGCCGTTCGAGAGTTGTTCAAGTGCACTTCTTATTGATAAACATTACTGCAGTACTGTCTTTCTAGTTGGGTATTCCGGAGGATACTTTATTGGACCATAGTACCTATGAGTGCTCAATTATCTTTTCTGCTGTTGGATTTTACTGTAATGTTACCGCCTGAACGCGTGCTCCTCCGTGGGAACTTATCATGAATGGTAGTTACCAACTCGCGCTTTGCACCAGCTATTTGCACTCATGGATCCGGCCTCTTCTGAACCACCTGTTGATCCATCAGAGTCTCGATCATTTTCAAAGATGGCTTCACAAAGCTGCCCAAGTATCAGGTATTGGGCTTACCGCAGACGAACGAGACCGTGACCGGGTTGAAGTACAGCATCGCCGCTGCGAGCAATGGAAGACCGAACTCCTGAATTACAGTCCGTCTCGTGTTTCTGCGTGGCCTGATCCGTACTCATTACAACGCCACGCACTCGTTTCCTTCATAGGTCCTTCAGTTGTTTTCATGTTAAAGCATCTTAAGTTGTCCGGGTGCCTGGTACCGTCCTCAAACATCGTGTGTGCCCCATGCGATCTCACGCGTTCCGGAGGCTTCCATCCTGCTGGTGCGATTATCCTTTGTCAGGGCCATTTCGGAGACAGAAAGCACATGGAGGATACCCTCACACACGAGCTGGTACACATGTATGATCACTGCAAGTTCAATGTTGACTGGAAAAACTTGAGACATCACGCATGCAGTGAAGTGAGTGATCAGTGTGCCATGTTCCGTTGCGAGTTTTTATTGACGTATGCCGCGGCGCCCATTTATCGAAGATCCGTGCTAACAGTTTAAGTGGTGACTGCCGGTATATGCGTGAATTGGGAAGGGGATTTGTGTCGTTTTCGAAGCAACATCAGGTATATCGATGATTTGTCTCATGCTGTGCAGTCCTATATCTATCTCGATCAGTCTAAATGTTTACTGACTTGGAATAGGCCTGCGTGAGACGGCGTGCTATACTTTCCGTCCGCGCGAATCCCATGTGTCCGGACGAGGCAGCAGCAGAGCGTGCGGTGAATGAGGTTTGGGAGAGTTGCTTTGGCGATACGCGACCGTTTGACGAGGTGAGTTGTACCCGCTATGTCGTCCCTCGACAGGACGGTGCCGTACATTTTTTGACGTTCACTATGTTTCACACGTAGATCTATTAGTAGGTGAAAAGGGAATAGATGGCCGTGATCTATTCTTGAGCGCAGGTGAAAGGCTGTTACGATTGCAGCCTGAATGGAAATCACACCGCCATCTGGTTAGACTCGTAATTTCACCAAGGCTTTTTTTTCCAGTGAGCCGCGGCAGAGGAGTTGAGGACTTCGAATGGATAGTGTCTACTATTACTGACTAGAATCCATAGTTGGGCATACCTAGGGAATAAAAAACGCGGGAATGACGAGGCAAGGATGAGAAAGGAAGTGAATCCAGCGTGTTTGTGAATCGTCGGCATCGCACGCTTTGAATCAGACTGGCGTGCCGCGTGGGAAGACGCCTTATGGTTTAGTTCTGGCATAAAAGCCGATAGACTTGCTCAAACTTTTCTTCAACTCTCCTGCAGTTCTCTACTTCCGGCTTCTCTCCGTAGCCCTCGCTTGTCTTATTCGTTTGCCTTCCTCTTCGTCCTTGCCTAGTTTATTTCTCATACCCCCTTCACGACTTCAACATGTTTGCTAGAATCGCGTAAGTCTCTTGTTCACTATTGCAGTCGATGAGTAGGTTTCCGATGTGTTGTTAACCACCTCCTCAGTGCTCTTGCTACCTTGGCTATCCCTCTCGTGTCTGCACTGACGCTCAACACACCAACGAGTGCTTCGGTTGGTGACTTGTTCAACGTCTCTTGGGATGCGACCACTTCCGACGCCAGTTCGTTCAATATTTACATGGTGAACACCATCTTCCACAACACATTTGCCATCGCAAACAATGTGCAAACTTCGGCGGGTGGAGTGACTATTGTACTGCCCCAGGCCCCCCTTGGGTAAGCACGCTGCATAGATCTCTGCTGAATGAACGAATAAGAGCGGCTGACCTTGCGGTGTACAGCGACGGTTACACCCTCGAGGCCACCGACATCAGCAACGTCAACACGGTTTACGCAACAAGTGGTGACTTTTCTGTTACCGCAACGACGACAACTTCCACAACGTCGATGTCGTCCACGTCCACATCTACGGGCACGTGAGTTAATGCTTACCTATCACTGAAACGATAATCTGAAATCCCTTCTAGGAGCACGAGCACCGGCAGTGCGGTGTCTGCTACGTCTCCTTCAGCCACTGCTTCTGGTACCACATCTAGCTCGTCCGGAACCACTTCACCTTCGCCCATCAACAATGGTGCTATGTCACTCAAGATCGGCATGGGCCCCGTTGCCGTCGTTCTACTTTCTGCAGCAGCTGGCGCAGCTATCATGTTCTAATCTCGCCTCCCTAAACCAAAAAAATCGTCTTAGCATGCCTGAGGATGACATTTTATTTCGTTTTCAGCTTTGGGATTTCACATGTTTTACATACCCTGGCTTTAGTTTTTGGTCATTGAGAACGCTACGTTATTTTGTAGTTGCAGTTGCACTTGGACATATTTTCTCGTTATTTTCGTGGACAAACAGACAGATGGGACATTACGAATGCATGGTTTACTGAGTTTGTGAGGGCGAGAGGTGCATCAATGATGTTGGGTGGGTCATTTGACACCGACTTGTCCGCTTCTTTGCATGTACATACCACGGTTGTCATACGAAGGTGTTTTTAATGATGTTTTACCAGTTTTTAAACGATCTGGCACGCTGGGTGGGGCCTGTTACGGTGATTATGGCGGATCTTATTGAGCTGCCACAACGGGCGCCATGCAAGTTGTTGTTTGTGGTAATGGGTTTGTTGCGCGCTTCCGAAACGTTGTCAGGGGAGTGTCTTGCGCATCGGGTATCCTCAAGTTCGCCTACTGACATATCTGATGGAAAACGGGGACCTGTCATGATGCTGAGTCGCTCTTAAAACAAATAATCGTGTCAATGATTATCAACAATGCGCACAAAATGCGGAGAAATCACACAGAAAGCTCCACAAAATGACATGGAATGATCATGTGTTGCATATGCGAGCGAAAGAGTGAATACACATGGATGTCCCATAATAGTCCTCAAAGCACGCCCAAAGCGAGTCGACTACTTCAACTTCTTCTTGCTGTTTGCGGCGATGTCAAATTAGTTTTCACGTGAGAGAATGTAAAGGAATGAAAGACGCACGGGCGGAGTTGTGACGAGTGCCCACATCCGCGCTTACGGCAGTTAGTTGCGCGCGGGGGCAGACGTGCGTAGCATTTTCGGCAGATTTGCTTGTCACAGTTGTATTTGGCTGCGAGAACCTTTAGTGAGGGCTCGATGATTCCGCCACGGAGACTATGGATAGGTGAACATGATGTTCGATGTCAGAATAAACGCGCGACGCACCGAAGGACAAGGTGGAGGGTAGACTCCTTCTGGATGTTGTAGTCGCTGAGTGTGCGACCATCTTCGAGCTGCTTTCCAGCAAAGATGAGACGCTGTTGGTCGGGGGGAATACTGATCACGATATTAATCTCTGTAGTACTAAATATATTATAAATCGTACCCTTCCTTATCCTGAATTTTTGCCTTGACGTTGTCGATGGTGTCAGAAGACTCCACCTCGAGGGTGATAGTCTTCCCTGTGAGGGTCTTGACGAAGATCTGCATCTTCAGATGGCGAGGTTGTGTGTCTTGCGGTTGCGGATGAGCTCACCGTGTAGCGTGCCAGACCGTGGGGAAATTCACCAAGACATGTATAGTTTCAATGGGTGGCTGAGTTTAGGGCAGGTTTAAGCGTGATAGTACTTTCGGGTGTTTCCGGAGCTTTCTTGTCTGCTTCAAGCTGCAACGACAAGGTAAGTGCTCGTCAATGTTTTATGTTGGTCTTTTTACGATGAAACAACTTCGTAAACTCAGCTCACTTCGATGCCTGCTAGCAGGTTCTGAGAAGAACGCGATCTACTTTCTGATATTTTCATTCTGTGTTGACACAATGCTGACTTGTTCTGCAGGACTTTTTGACTCCTTGGGCCCTTGTTGTGTGCGCGGACACTTGCAATTGGTGAGTTGTCATGTTTCCGACATGTTTATTAGGATAGAAAATCTTTCGACGCGACGTGCTTGCACGCTGGACGTTGATCCTTTACGGGATCCCATTCAAGTCTCTGATCCCCGTATTTATTTCTTCTTATTAACCGTTGCTAACTTCTTTTCTTCCAGCACTTCTGTAGGCTCCTCTTGCTTCGAATTCGTGTACATGAATGCAACGACGTGTCTTGTTGCCCATACATTTTAAATTTATCTACGTGCTATTTAAATAATAGAAATTACAAATAAATGCAGACTATTACGGGAAGTGCCGTTACGCCCCCTTTTCCCCAAAACGCTTTTCATACCAAATGGAAGTATGCAAATTGATGCCGTAAACACGACTTCTCGTCCAAATGAGCAACATTCAGTCTATCATGTAAACCGAGTTTTGTTCCGCAGCGTGTCCCGCTTAAGTTCTGCTTTTTGCCTTGCGGAACGTTACTCATAGCGCTACCGAACTTGTTTGTGCACTGACCGATCCAAGGTCGTCTGATCTTAAACTCTATGGCAGATTTTCGCCTCGTCAATCCAGAAGGTTGGGAATACGATCTCCAGTCTGTGCGTTATGCCAGTGCTTTCGCCAAACAGGTTGCTCATAATCCAATAGGTATACTCTGCTTACATAGGCCACTTCCAGTTGCACAATGTCCCGTGGTGCGTCTGCCCCTCTACTTCCGCGTGCATAGGACGTGTTTTTCAAGCTGCACAGGTACGACCGGACATGGGGACAATTCTTCGAGACGTTTGAGCAATTTCTGGGATTTTCATGGCCTGTCATTACTGTTACAGACTCATGGACTGGCCGTGCGCACATTGTCACCCGACTGACGACCGTCGGCGCGTTCATTAAGATGATCAAGACTCGGTGCGTCCTATCCCTCTCTCACTTACTGACCCACACATGAAGAAGGAACCCTCAGTTTCGGCGAAACACTTCCAACGCCTGACAACATGCTCAAAGTCGCGCACTTCGAGACGTCCCAGCGACATCTACGGAACGTTGCAGACTGGGCAACATACAAGAAACTATACACGACGCTACCAGCAGTAGCGCTTGCAGCGTTTAAAACTCGGGTACGCGCTGGCGAGCCGAAGGCTGTCCGAGAATTGTGGGCCAAGCGCGACAAGACATTTTTAGCTATCGACTTTGAGTGGAGCGAAAGGAATCCAGCGACGTTTTTGGAATGGGGTTATGCGGCTGTTCGATGCGGGCATCTTGAGGCGTATGTTGTTTTGTTTTTTCCGTTGGGTACGGGTAATTGATGGATCTGATTTGCAGCGTTGGCGCTTGGCCTCCGATGCCCGAGTCGAATTATCGGTGGGTTGTGGATTGGCGGGCGTGACGGCCTGGCTGATGTGCATGTACGCAGGAAGGGCCATTATATCATTGGTGATTACGTGGACAAAATCGTCAACAAGCATTGTCCAACGTACCCTTGGCAGGTACGCCTATTCGGACCACCTCCCGTGCTAAACTGACATATGGAGTAGTATGCTGTACGTCTTTCTTTCGGCCCTTTATTCCCTTCTTATAGAGTACCTCGTAGTGGGGCGACAGTCAAATAATACCAAGAACAAAGTTACCTCAGATTGTACAGTCTGTGATTAGGTAGGATAGTCCTGTGCATGCAGCTCCGGTGTCACTGACGTCATCTACAGCAGTCTAGTAAGCCCAGACGCAGAAACCACTGCCAACAGTCTCGTCCTCGTAGGACACGGCGTCAGCTCTGACATCCAGCGCCTTGAAGAGACTAAAATCAGTACGTCCCCACCCCCACACATGCATTCCAACTAACGCACCCCCAGAAATCCCACACAACGTCCTCATAATCGACACCGCCTCCTTCGAACGTGTGCTCTTCAACGCCGGCGAGCGAGGAACGATGCACGATCCCAAGACAGGCAAACTCCGCGCTCAAGGCTCTACGCTCTCCCTCGGCGGGCTCTTACACTCCCTAGGGATCGACCCCCCATGTGCGCTGCATAACGCAGGGAACGACGCGTTTATGTGTTTGCTTGCGTTGCAGAAGATGATGGAGCCTGGGACGGCTACGCCTATGCCTGATCCTGATGCAAGGAGGAAGCCGAAGTCAGCGTGTTTGGCTATGGGGGCATCGATGCCGGTGGCGTTTATGGGGCATTTGACAGTGGAGGATGGGGGACGGTCGATGTCTGGTTATTTTAAGTCGCCTGGTGGGTTGGGATCACCGAGGATAAGGGAGCGGGAGCGTGGGCTGGTGGATGGTGGGATGGATGAGATGGGGATGGTGCGTAGGGTTTCGAAGTATGGGAGCGCCTCTCCGCCTGGGACGGGCGGGAGCTGGAAGGATGACAAGGACACGGACAGGGAGAAGGAGGGGTGGGTCAGGTCCGCCAAGGGGCTGCGGTCGGTGACGAAGTGATACTGATTGGTTAATATTGGTTGGACACTTGAGCTTGAGACCTTGTCTCCTAATTTCTTTCGAGTATGATGTCCCCTTTGTTTCGTTTCGTTCCTCATAGGATTCTTTCGCTACTCGTCTGCATACCTTACATGCACGTACAGTAAAACAGTAATTCTTGTCTCGGACTTGGACTTATAGGAGTCTATTGTGTATGCAGTCATGATACGTATAAACACTGCTGCCGTTCGAGAGTCTGAGGAGCAAATTGTTACAGTCTTGTGAGGTTGTTTTTCATCGCTGATCAAAAATTTCGGCCGCGGGGCCCCGATATACATGCCTCCTCTCCGACCAAGATGTCTCCACCGCTTCCTAGTGCGATGGAATGATAACTAGAGTTGGGCACTCGCTTCATATATTTATTCCGCCGCTCGGCGATCAACGTTAACCTCCAGCACACATATCCAACGCCAGTGCGTAAAACAATAGCTCCGAGATGACCCCTTTTTTTTCTTTTCTTTCTTGATCAAGCCTTCTGCTGGTCGTATCGCATCAAGGTGATATCTAATGGAGAGGTTTGAGAGCCGAACCCGCGCCCCAGGTTGCCAAGTTGTGGGGCAATTTTCTCGTCGAGCCCAACGATACTCTGGTGTCCGCCGTCAATGCTTTTTTACGTTTCTGTTTAGATTCTGTTTCAGCGGATGCCTTGGACCCCTTTTAAAATGGGGCCCATGCCACCCGGGATCTTGATATAATGACTGATAGTACTGAAGGATGAGTTACTTGTGTCCAATTCTCCTCGACTAGTCCCGGAATCATCATCTCGAATTCGGTGGTGCACGGCCGGTATGTAAACGGCAGGAGGGCTTTCTCCACATTCATGGATCCTGTGTCATCCAACGGCTTTGTAGGATCTAGAGTGAGCTGGAAGGCCCAAGGTATCAAGACCGCGCTTATGAACGCCGATCTGTACAGATAGAAGTGAGCTCGGAAGGTTTTGTGCGTAGAAATTTGAAGGTGCCTTTACCTGTCCGCGATATATTGCCCAGGGCATTTACTGCAAGGAATGTCATTCAAAGAATGAATAGTTGAAAGACCGTGCTTACCGCCGACCAAAACCGTAGAGACGATTATATAAAGTGTCTCTCAGGCGACCATGGCCATCAATCCAGCGTTGAGGCTTGAAGGCTTCAGGCTCAGGAAAGACTTCTGGATCCCGACAGATGGACCTAAGGCAGTGCGAGGACGGTCAGCTAGAGTTCCACCCTGATTCTCCATAATATCCATGACGGCCTGCAACAGAATGGACCAGGTGAGCTTGGATATGTCAACTCGGCGTCGAGAGACTGACTCTGTAATGGCCAATAATCACAACTTTTTCGAGTCCTGACCCAAGAGTGATCAGAGCACCGTACTCGTGAATCCAATCCGCTATAGGAAGAAATGGCTTAATCAACGAAGGACATCGTGAGCACTAGCAGAAAACGTGTTGCATGGAAAACTTTACTTGTGAAGGGGCAGGAAATGCCCCCAAGGCCTCAAAGTGAAAGGATAAGGTGGGAGAGAAGGCCATTCTTCGATTGAGGAAGAACAATCACCCCTATTACTAATAGTAATATTACGCCAAGACAAATCACGGCACCGACGATGAGCCGCGCATTGTCCGAGATGGATAGGTCAGGCAGTCGTAATATGGCTGATGGGAGGAGCGTGAGGAAGGATTGGAGAGAACTCATCGTAAGTAGCTTCTCAGCTCGAGGGTTAGTAAGGCAATGTCAGCTATCTGAGGGACAGACCAACTTTATGTAAATCCAGTTGACCAACATGCTTCAAAATTCATATTCTGGTCCATCACTGCCACGTGGTTTCCACAGACCGTTAGTCCTTCGTATACATGGAACCGGAGTATCACCGAGCAATATTTCTGCTGGCAAAGAATCACCGCCTCAGCAATTTGGCTCGATGACCTTTCTCTGGTTTAGGAAGGTAAAACACTCCTACCATGCCAAGTGCGGCACCAGGAAACGATGTCAAGAATGTACAGGTTGGACAGCTGTAATACAGCTGACGGGAGGAGCCCAAAGGATTGGACGTAACTCATCATATGTCACTGCTGGCCTGCGGTAGTTCGCTCGCACCTGGTAACACTTGACCATTGAGAGAAGTCGATGGAGAGCACGTGTACAACCTCTTTGGCCAGCATACTAGTTCAAATTTCTCTTTCTGCATCGCCGGTTTCATGCCCAGTGGAACTCCGTGACTCGTATGGTAATTAGAAGGATTAGTGCAATTCCTGTCGAAGAATCGGCAGAAATGGCGGAAACGGCGGCATAACCTATTCTGGATTCCGATTCAACAGGTGGTGGGTGTTTTGTCGTCCCTTAGCAGCACAGCTTGGACCATGACTGGGGAATGAGTTGACAAGTCCATGGATGGCTCACATGATGTCTTGGTAAAGGACAATATATCACTACCAGTTACAATCTGGATGGAGATCCTGCCGTGTTACGGTCTTGTCGTAGTGTGACCTATGTAAGATAAATGGATTTCATGTGTTAAAATATTGCTGGACGAACCGGAAGAGAAACCCAACATTTCACGTGTGTCTGCATCTGCAAATTCCGGGTCGCAGTCCTTGTACCTGGGGTGAGCTACAATTCTGCAACAACTCGGCACATTCGAGCTGCTACACTTTGCTGTGTGCTGAATGCGATACAAATGGGATAGAATCATAATTCATAAATAGCTACCACCAGCTACAGGGAACCATTTGTGATATATCTATGATTCACTGTTGTGTTCAGGGAAAGCCTGAAGTTGCAAGTTACATTCACTACGGTGCCCGTCATCTATGCGCCTCGCTGGGCCCTGCACATTAGTACAGTTGCGGAAGCCAATGAGAACATAACTCGCACCTGAGTTTCGACCGACGGAGTTTGTATGCACAGGCGCATACTTAGCCCTAGGCAAATCGAATAATATGATTCTGTGAATCAAAGATCACGAGCACCAAATGAGTATGTAGTACCCCTAGTACTAGTAACTAGTAGTAGCTTGGATCATTTCAACCAGGTTGAGTCCAACGTTCTGTTGTGGAGAGGAATTTGAAAGATAAAGTGGAGCGTGTTTCGGAATTCAGCCTATCACTGCCTGTAGGTACTGGGAGCTCGGACAAGAAGACTGAACATGTTGAACGACGACTTGGCGTGAGAAAGAGAACAGAAAAAGGTGGGCAGAGTCGGGGACTGGCGGCTCGCCGCCACTACGATACCTCTGAATAGCAAGCGGTGCATGGGCCGCCGGGTTGATAGTCGATGTAATATTATACCTACCTTCAGATCGATAGGCCAGAATCCATTTTTGTTCATTCACCGCTTTTGTTTACTCGTGGAGCTAGACAAACAAAAGGGTCCCGCCTGTTACGATATTTTGTCGGCGAGATACCCCAGAATGGCACTGAACTGCGCAGCTTTCTCATTCGGCACTGTCCTTCAAGTTCGGACACCACTCTCACCATGGTTGGAAACCGCCGTCACATTCCAGCAGTCATAAAGCAACAATGGGTCACTATGTCTGCCCAAATGTCATCCAAGGCCATAGCACAAGTCACCAACACAAGTCACTGAACTATCAACTCAAACAAGCAGCATACCGTATCACAGAAGTTGCGCAGTCCAGTGCCATTCTGGGGTATCTCGCCGACAAAATATCGTAACAGGCGGGACCCTTTTGTTTGTCTAGCTCCACGAGTAAACAAAAGCGGTGAATGAACAAAAATGGATTCTGGCCTATCGATCTGAAGGTAGCTGTAATGTTGTGGAGGCAGTGACAGATATTTGGATGGTCACCTTATGGTAGGTCGAGATTGAGTACTATTTAAAGTTGGGATCATCCAACCAAGATCTAATTATATCTTCTGACTTTTATAACCAACTATCTATCTATATAGTAGTCTGTCACCAATGACCACAACCACCTAACTGTCTCTGACAGAACAGAGTTTGGTCGTACCATCTCTGGCACCGGAGGTACAACTTCTATCAAGTTAACATTCGTCTTTCCTCGACAAGCCACCTGTGAAAGCGGTCAGCAGATATACGAAAGTTGTTGTGATGCTCGACTATACATTACTTTGAATAACTTTCTCATCTGTTCACAGGTTCTCTCATGTTATAGCCTCAATCGACAGTGTGAGGAAACATCAGACTTTATCGTCGGAACTTCATGTTTGGTTCTTCCGGGGCCTGTGCAACCTGGCCAGCCCTGTGACCACGTCGACTTTCTAGTAACCAGCAAAACACACCATCACGATCAAGCCAAGGTTGTAACTCGAAAACTGTTCACAGCATCTTGATGGGTGCCTAGTTTGTTCTTAAGATATAAGAAGGTGCATGATGTGTGCAAAAACCCCGTTTTTTATCGAACAAACGCAGAGATGGAGTATTCGGCAGGACATTATCACAGTGGCAACGAATCTGCAGCTATTGGCGGTGCGTCAAATTCTTAATACGAGGGCAAGTTAACATACTTGTGCCACCAGTACCTGTACAGTGCGTACTGTCTTACCCGCTGCCTCCTCGTTCTCACTTGACAGCTCAGTGTCAATGGCGACGTTCTGGGTAGGCTAGTCCTAGTCTATTCCCGGCTGCCGTTCAACCTGTTTATCCAGACCTATGATTATGCTTGTTCAGTTGACGAAGAGGTAATGCACTTGTTCTCTGATACGCCTCGGTTTGAATATTGATAATACCTGTTCAAAGTGGAAATTCCTCCATCAGTCGCGCTGGACCAAAGTAAAAGTTCTTTATATCGTTACACGATACATACCCTTTTTGTTTATCGCCATGAACTTCTGTGGTGCGTTCAACTCTAGAATAATCCCCTGACAATGAATCGACATGTACTTCAGTGAATTTTCACAACGAACAGCTCGGAGAGCCCCAATGTATGTGAGCTTGCAGCGGA